GAGAGAGAGAGAGAGAGAGAAGCCCGTAACATTCCATTGCATGATAATGATCCTAATGGACCATGAGTATACCATAGTCATGATATGTAGAATACTTTCCCAATCATGTGAGAGCCTACCTTCATGCCCTTCAACTGCTCTCCTTTGGGTTTCTCAGCAAATTCTATGATTCGGCCTTCTTCGTCAATCTTCATTAGACCAAAAGCAGTGGCACGTTTTTCATCCATTGGCAGTGCAGCCACTGTTATATCAGCATCTGTTTCTCTATGCGCCTGAATGAACCTCTCATAATCCATTCGGTATAGATGATCTCCAGCAAGAACCAGGAATTCCATGACATTATGCTCCTCAAAAAGCCATAAATACTGCCTCACAGCATCCGCTGTTCCCTGCAAAGCAAATCGATCTCTATTATTCGATCCATGGTTAGAGTAAAGAAAGTGAAATAGGAGGACCCCATGTTCTCCATTTCATTTAATGTAGTAAATTGAAGCTTATGAAAATGATCGAGATTAGGAAATAGTAAAATGTTTATTCAAAAGGATAATTCAGAAGCAATGTGAAGGGAGACCTTCCCTGAGTCACTCAGATTGATTAGAAAAGGCCAGGCTTATCTACATACTCTTGAAAATGAGACCACTAGGACACACTTACATGGATTTTATGGATAAAGACAATGCTATGTGGAAGTTTCTACCTGCTATATACATGTATCTGCTGCCAAGAATGCCTACAGCAAGAGCATAGAGTTTGGAAGGTAATAATCTTAACCAACAAAGAAAGGAATCTAGATGCAACAACTAACAACCAACATCTCAAGCAATAGGCACAAAAGAACCAACTTTGCCCATGGAGTTGTATAATCCTCAGAAAGAATTTGCAAATAATGACCTAGAAAAGTATTCGAGCTCTAATGAAAGAAAAAAAATGTATTTCAGCTCAGGCTAGTGTTTGCTCTTTCCCTGCAAGAACAAGCCTTAAAATGCATTTATCTGTTTTTCTAATGGTGGTGAATAGATATACCACTATGTACGAAATTTAAGCATCCAGAGACAATAGTGTGCAGAAATTGCATTACTTTTCCTATCTGCTCAAAGCATTTCTCCAAAAAACATGAGGAATCACAGGAGAATACATGGAGATGAACTATCAAAAACGACATCATTGGAGCATGCATATTTCTGTAAAAAATGAAGCACTTATTACTTCATCATTATAAAGCAACAGAGCTCAAAATCGGGAGCACTTCACTATTCATCAAATTTGCAGAACCTACTTCAGAGCAAAGAGAGAAAGAAACACCCAACCATATTGATAATATTCCACTAAACAAATGAAATCACAACTTTAATAATTAAATCATAACTTTTTTTTTTAGAGTATTCACTTTAACTTTAATAGAAAACCTACACATGAAATGAAACCATTGCCTTTACCTGGAACCAGTTTGGATTCTCAGGGCTTTGTTGAGCTGCAAGGACCTCAACAAAACCTTCATTCTGGTATCCGCTCATGTTGCTTCCATATGCTCTTGAAAGGTGGCGGTTAAGAGATGCCGAATTAAATTGGGTGAGGACATAAATCTTAGAAATGTTACTGTTGAGACAATTGCTCACTGGAATGTCAATTAGCCTATAATTTGCTCCCAACGGAACAGCAGGCTTTGCTCTCTTCTTTGTCAAAGGGTAAAGGCGGGTCCCAGCCCCACCGCCAAGGATGATCCCCAACACACTCTGCAAAAGCAAGAATCAAATAATCAACTTGATAAAACCTTATATAAGATATAGAGATGTCAAAATTAGATTCATTTTCCGCAAAAAAAATTAATACAACTTTAGAACCATAAGCCAATAATACTCAAGGACAAGTATGAAGATGGGAAAAGTTCTTAAGCCAATTCCCCAGAGAGATATTCGATGAAAAAGAAAACAAATCCTAAAGAGATGATAAGGACTTGTAAAAGTTAACTGCTGTAAAGCCAATGGATATTCCAGAGATGAGGAGTCAACCAGCTAAGAAAAGGAGTAATTTGCATAATACATCTGGACACTCAGAGTTTCTTTAAAAGATTGACTGCAAATGGGCATTGATAATTGAATTTCGCATTGAGTAATCCAATCAAATTGAAAATCTGAAGCTTGTCTTCAATCTTGCAGATGTAAGAAGACATAATAGACACTAGAATCTGAAACTGAAGAGTAACATGTTCTCATTAATCTAACTGAGAACATCATATGATTAGCCCTGAAACAACAAGTTACCATGACCCAACTCCTAAATAAGCAAATGTAGCTTGAGCAATTGTTAATATCCTCTACCAAAGATTGAACAAATTATCATTCATTAGGACACGGAAAAGAAAAAAGACAGAAAAGAAAAGTCAAAGATGTTTTAATCACTGTTTTAAACAGTTTTCAGCTTATCAAACAGGAATCTCACGGAACCATAAGTGGATCCTTCCCAATCACCATCTTAACCACGTATCCGGAATAACTCACAAGATAATAACCCAAATCCAATTATAGAACAACTAAAACCTTTGTATTATCCTAAACTTATCGACAATTATTTATCAAATTCTTATGTAATTTTGTCTACCGATTTTACTAATACAACAAATGCTACAGTTTCAAATGCCAATATCCAAAATTCAGACGTTCACAATGACCGTTTGGATACAAGTAACATTTCAAAATACAATAACGCAATATTAAAAGAAAAAGGTCATTTCATTTCAAACACCATCCGAAATTATCCATCTGCATTTATAAATATCTAACCTCTGAAATGCAAAGAAAACCGAAGATCACCACAAACAAATCATTTCTAGTAATTTGCACAATCTAAATCCAATACAGTGTACTATTATTTTCTATCATTTTTTTCTTTAACAATTCAGTGCTTATCCCTAGAATCTCTTGAACAGAGAAATTCATAATGTGAGATTCAATGGAATAAATATTCTTGATAACGCACTTCTCATTTTCAGTTTTGGATCAAGAAATTAGAAAGAAAAAGAGAGAGAGACAAATGGAATACGTTTTTTATTTTTCTATTCACCAAAAAAAGAGAGAGCTAAACAAGATGGATGCTATAATAATTACGAACAATTTTTACCGCATAACTGCATTTGCAGATTCAAAGTAACTAACCAAATAAAAAAGAGAACAAAAAGTACAACTCGAACTGAAGTACCTCAAAGAAAATGAAGAAATTACAAATAAATTCATCACTAAAATAGCATAAAAATTACAACCCAAAAGAGAACACAAAAACCACCCTTTCAAAGAACCACTTACCCTGCTTGCATCAGGGTCAAGACATGTCTGCGAATTACGAGAGTCAGAAACCGCTTTTGGTGAAACCACAAGCGGTTTTCTACAGTTGAGAGGGGCTCTGCGAGATAAACGGAAGCAGGACTTGATTTTTTCACCATATAGATTTGAGGCCGCTGATGAGAGCTTGCGAGTGGATAAGATGGCGTTTATGGGGTTTGGAGGTACCTGAATTCTTGAAGCTCCGATTGCTGCGATCGCCATTGTCCTGTCTCTCCAAAACTGTTTCTCTCTCTAAAGATTGTTTCGATCTCTAATATCTGCAAACTGCAATGTTGTGGACTTGTGGTTCAGGAGTGGAGTGAAGCGAGACTGAGGCTGTTATATGCTCAAAAATCACTGCCGCTATTATATGCACAAAAATCTCAGTGGTACTTACCGTCAGTTGCCACTGCTTTTTAAGAAAATTACTGATTTGCCACTCTGAAATGTTTGGGTAAATAAAGCGAGTAAACAAAATTCATGTATGGTCAAATTTACGATTGAGAATAATTTTTAGAATTAAAAATAGTCCATAATTGGAACATTATATAAGAAAATTTATTAGTGATAATAATTTTAGAATTAAAAAATAGTCCATAATTTGGACATTTTAGGGTGAGGCCTATAATTTTTTAGGTTTTTTGTACCATTTTAGCCTCATTCTCAAATCTAACTTTAGATTACTTGAAATATAAATGAACTAGTAAGCGTTTTGGCGGTTCAAAAGTTGGAATTTGAACGGCCAAAATACAAAAAAAAATAATAAAAAAAAAAAGGTGGAATGAAATATTTGGGCTAAGAAAATCCAATTTTTAAACCACCGAAAGCACAAAAGCACTAATAATTGCTCAAGATTTGGACTTTCGAATGAACCAAAAAAAAGAATTTGTTCAAGAATCCAACTTTGGACACTTAGTTATTTTTTTGTTTTGGTCACTCCAATAGGGTAAAATCATCATCATCGTGCTTGAAATAAAGCTCTATAGAAGCTTAAATTTTTGGGACGAAGAGTATTGCCTAATTGTGTAACTTGATTCACAATCAAATTTGTTATTATTCGTAAAAAAAATGAGTATTGCCTAATCAGAATTATTTATTTTATTTTAAATTTTTTATAATCTTGAAAATAAATGGTCCAAATAAGGGTTAGAAGATGCATTACTTAATTTACTTTTAAAATCATCAATTTGTTTTTCTATGTTCATGCCTCTTTAAATCAATATGATCAATTGGAAGGTTTTTCATCATCAAAATAATTTTGTTTATACAATTTTGAGTTGCGCACCACCTATATAGTGATGCATTATATAATGTTTTTCATATAGTAATAATAGGAAGGTTTATACGACATGTAGTTTTACTTCAATTATAGTACTTATCATGATGCCATGCAGGTAAGCAATCCTAGTTTTTGAAGGACTCTATTGTTCAACTTTACAAAGAGAGACAAAAAGATATTATTAGATTAAATAAAATCAAGGGCTTTATTTTATACTAATGACAAATCGACCAACATCGCAACAAATTTATCATACATGGTAGACATTTTATATGCAAAATTATTGTTCAGCTGTTGCACATCTTTTGCTTTTTTTAAATATTAAAAAATAGTTTGAGTGCTTTTGTGCCTTTGCACACAAATGTATTTATGTATCTCACGCTTGACAAACTCTGCCTGAAGACGAGTAGGGTAAATTGGTTTTTACATGCATTTTGAATTCTCAATGAAAATAGGATGAAGTTTCTATAAGGCCTAGGCTTTATGGAAACAAAATAAAGCCTCACTTCAAATCGTTATCTAGTAAGCACTTTTGGGAAAAGAAATTTCCATGATGGATCTAAATCAATTTCCAATACTAGCTGTAAAATTTGAAACTAAAAAAATGGTATAAATCTAGGAAAACTAATAAACGGTCTAAATAATTCATTACAATATACACAATTTTTAGAGCATAAAATTCTAATTTTTTTTTATAACTAATATGTTCTAGATGAGATGATCAACATAAAGGTTTTTTGATGCTTGAATTGTAATTTTCGATGAATTATGAAATGAGGCTTCACTTGTTTTGATAGGGCACCATTTTCCGTATAAATAAGTATCACATCTCATTGTCAAAGGCCATGGTTTTCTAGGGGCCGCAGCTTTATGAAGTTTTTTAAAGCCCCGCCACCCACTTCCACTTAAAAATGCAGTTCTACCATTAGAATCGTGTGTAATCTCTTGCAGCTCTATTTATGACTTTGATGGTAGAATTTAAAGCTTTAGTATTTTTATAAATTTGATAAATCTATGAATACTTGAAATGCAGTACAAAAATATGTTATAAAATAGATAATTTTATGATTTAAATATTATTTCTTTCATATCCAGGATTGTCGAGATGAAGATGATGAACCATTTTCTAATATTTTACGATGTTTGAGGCACGATATAAAATGCAGATCCTTTGAAAATAATTTATCCCCCATGAGGAATACCATCTTTATTTGTTTGTTGCCATTCTTGAAATTTGGGAGCAAATGAAGGGGGTAAGTACTTGATCAAGACCCAAATAGAAAGCGGAGAGGATCATCCTAACATTGGGTGGTCACGATCATCTCACCATCAATCACAACTGATTTGGAGCTCCTGCCACGTGGACCAATGGTACACATGCATAATTATTGAAATTAATTTGTTTTTTAATATTTGACGGTGGTGGTGAATCCGCATGCGCATTTGCATAGAATCCACGTGAGGTGGGTCCCATGACTCTTAACTCTAGACCCGTGTGAAAAGAAAATTAATTTTATTTCTTTCGAGGATGGGTTTCCATGAGTATTTGTTTACATTATTTTCCCCTAACATTTGTAACATTTACTTGTTCACCCCGTTGGCTACGTCTATGACATCGGCAAGTAAAAATTACTACAATTTATCTGTTATACGGGATGTATCTCTCTTTAAACATCAGTAAAAGATGCCATCGATTTTTTCTCCTAAATTGGATACCGATCACTACCATGATCAATCTCATCTTTCCAACTGTTAAAAAAATTCCTAGAGACCTTAATTCTGAATCTTAAGAACCACATAAACTCTAGTGACCCATAATCAATTTAGACTCAATTTAATTATCACAAAACTCTCTCAAACATATTCCAAGCGCTTCAAGATCTTTCCAATAGTCCAAGAATCACTCAAAATCGACATACCATTGGGAAGTTAGGGCTTTAGGAGTGTCCAAGGGAAAAAATACCAAAATGTCTATGAGTGCGACACGCACATGTCGTGCTCAGGCCGCGTGCCACACGGCGAGTCAGGCAGCTTGATCTGCTAGGCCTGAGGTGGTGAATTTTTGCTTAATTCCTTTTTTTAAAAGGATTTTGAGGCAGTCAAATACAAAATATTCCAAATAATTTGAAATATGCCTTTTTTTTTATTAAATCTAGACCTTTGGATTAAATCAATTATTTTCAACCTTAACATTAGTCAAAATCTAGAAATGCCCCTTTAAGTTCTTAGGAAAACCACAATTAAAAAAAAAAAAAAGACAAAAAAAGAAAAAAAAAAGAAAAAGAAAAAAGAAGGGGCTAAAAATTAGTTAAAAAACTCCCTAGAAAATTATTAGGAAAATCCCAAAAATTCTAGAAATTAAAAAAAATCCTAAATAAATACTAAAACTTCAGGGAAAAACCTCAAAAATCCCAAAAACTCCTAAACTTCGCAATAAACATTTGAAGACCTCAAATCCCAAAAAAAAATTAGGATATCATCTCCCAAGTTTAGAAATAACTAGGGAAATTCATACTTAAGCTCCATAATCCTTTTCTAAGCCCTAGAATTACTAGATCTAGGTAAAATAACCCAAGATCTAGCAACCAAAAGCATTTAAATATGAGATAATTGTATGAGAAGAGTGACTTAATCACAGCCCGAAACTCTAGATTTCTGGTGCTTAAGGTAAGCAATCTCCCTTATTTTCTTTACAAACACTTTGCTTCTATATTTCTCCAAATCAATCCATATAGCTATCTAACCTTTTCATTCATCTTTATCTTTAGGAATAGAAGCCTTAGTCATGTACACACCTTGTGCTCTGATACCAATTACATGGTTTTTGGGAACTCTTAACTTGCGGAACTAGGAATCCTAAATATCGGGACCCACTCAAGATCATGTACATAATTGATTAAATACGAAATAGATGAATATAACTATAAATTGAGTATAAAAAGAAAAACAAAAATACCACAACGACCCAAGATTTATTTGGTTTACCCTGTAGGGCTATGTCCACAACGTCCACAAGAAAAAGCTCACTATCTTAATGAAAAATTATAATTTTTTGTTATAAAGAGATATGCCTCTTAAACATCGGCAAAGGGCATCATCGATCTTTCTTTGTAAACCCGCTTTTCTGACCGGCCAATACCATTGATCGATCTCATCTTTTCAAACTCTATATTGCCACCTGAAAGAGTACCTTGAGAGCAATGATAGATTTTTTCTCTTTAAAAGTGAAAAATTAACAAACTCAAAATCTCATGGGAACGCCGCCTCTTTCTCTCTCTTAGAGACCCATCCCCTTCTTGGAGATATCTTGTCATAAAACCCAAAAGGAAAAAGCTTATCTAAGAATGCAGCTTTATAATGTAGATCTATGGATGTACCTCAAAAATCCACCAGAAAAGGTAGTTTTAATGTTGAAAAACCCTTTGATTGATCATCTTGACATCGAGATGTATGACCATAAAAAATAAAAAGATTTTAAGTCTCAGAATATAGTGCATTTTACAACATATTATCTACACCGTCTATTTTCAAGATTTTTATATGTTTATAGATCTACTTGATTTTAACCATTTTTGAAATTTAAAATTTTATAATTAGATATAAAAATAGATTTTGAGATAATCCTAGGAATATTTACATCAAAATTATATACCTGATAAAATTTAAAGGTGCACCTTATTTCTACATCTATGGATGCTTCTGTATGCAAACTGCACCATTCTAAAAAAAAAAAAGTATTGCATGTTCTTTGACTCCCTTATATACGTCACTTTCTTACTTAAAAAACAATCATTTTTCTTTTAAAAAAGATAAGTATTTCATCTTCTTTGACTCCTTTATATACATCACTTTCTTACTTAAAAAACAAACATTTTTCTTTTAAAATGAATACATAGATGTGGTAATTTTGACTGTCACCACCTAAGAGTTGTAAATTGGCGAATACCATTGATACATGGGGCATGGAATAAGGATCTTGTCGGTGGTTTTTGCAGAGAGAATGAGGTTTTGGGAGGATTTATTATTTGAACGCATTAGCTCTAACGGGTTGATGTAGAATTTGGTGGAG